GGGGGGGGGGGGGGGGGGGGGGGGGGGGGGGGGGGGGGGGGGGGGGGGGGCACTGGTTTCTTGCTGCTGTGAGCAATTCGAGTGGAGGTTTGAAAGGTGCTTCATCGGGGGTGGTTTTGCTTGCTGGACCGGGGTGCCGTGAGGTGGGAACTCTTGATGTGTTTTTTTGTAACCTTTGGTTGAAGGGGGGGGAGGGGGGAGGCGGCGGCGAGGATGCGGCTGTTGCCAAGTTGGACGGCAAGCCGGCAAACAGTGGGGGGTGGTCACCGACCAATGTAGCCCTTGGCTATCAGAGGTGCGGAGCACCTGCAGTTAAGTAACTGGTAAACGTGTTTCGGTGCGGAGCGCAGTGGCGTCAAGGCTGTAGAAAACGTTGGCGCCCGCAGGACTCTTGCCTGCGTTGCAAAACGGCGGACGCGCGCGGGGGACAGAGTGAGGGAGGCTATGATAGCGGTAGGAAGAAACTTGTTTATTTTTTTTGTGTTTTTCGTGTATCCTTGAGGTTCTTTTGGGTTTAAGGGGACCGCAGCCCTCGCAGGCTTGTCGCGTGGGTGGCGCTGTTGGAGTGGTTAAGGTCTCTCACTTCTTCTCCCGGCCCTCTGTCACATTGTCCGTGATGCTGCTTCTTAGTTTGTCCCCAGCAGTGCGCGGCCGGAGGCGTGCGTGTGTGTTAACACGGGGCTGGCCGCAACGAGGCCAACGTGTGGAATCCATACATGTCTTTTTGCTCTGTCGGCAACGTTATTTAGAGAGAGAAAACTGAAGTTACACACTCACGAAGGGCCGTCTCCGCCGGAGACGGAACAAGGGATGGTGTACGGTGCGGTACGGAGTTCCCTTGTCGCGGGTTTTTCAGAATCAGCCCTTCTCCGCCTGTCGTCGAAGTACCTGTGCATGCTCCCGAAAGGGGGGGCGCGGATCGAGTTGGCGGTGGAGAGGGGGATGAAACTGTTCTACTTTGTTCTTCGCGTCGTGGGTTCTTCAAAGATGGTGGGCGATGTAACTACGGTAACTTTCCTCATGGGTGGCCCGTGTTGCGCGTTTTGCCTCGACAAACAGGCTGCTTCTTCTCTGGCGAATACATATGTCGATCGCTTGGAAATAATTGCTTCGAAGCAGCACATATAAATCTAGCTGCTTTTTTTTTTGTGACGCCCAAACTTGGTAGCTCCTGCTGCGGGGTCCGCACCGAAACTTGCCTCTGGTGGTGTACGCCCATCAGGTGGTCAGTAGTTTGTGCTACACGCGAGAAGGGTTCAGCAGTCAAGTCCCTCAATCGTACTAACGAAGAAAGTCAGCGGTTTCTGCTCTGTCCGCCAAGAACGAGATGACGCGCTAACCGTTCCCCTCACCGACCTTCATTTTAACTCTCAACTGAGAGCCACTCACACAGAGCAGCAGTCGCACGTACGTTTGTTTACGGTGGCGTCGACCACAGACTATCGGAGCAACGAACGGCAGGATGTACCCGTGAAGATCATCTACTGTGTACCGGCGCGCCGCCGGCGCTTCTTGTGAAAGAACCTACATAGGCCTCGGAACTTCGCCCTGATGTCTCCTTCTGCATGACGGCATGACATCGCGACGTTTTCGTCTCTGGACAGCGGGGCTACAAAGTAGGCTCGAGAGGAAATCGACCTCCTTCGCCGAATCAAGTCCACAGTCCGACTTGTCCTCATCATGCGTGTTCAGAAGTCCCGCTAATAGGCGCATGCAATGCCTACTGCGGTTTAAAAAACTGAGAAAAATCTTGACGTCGCATATTTACTTCACTTCACCCCCAAATACCCTCGCCTCGGACTAAAGCTACAGCTATGTCATTCTGGCGGTGCCCAAGCATGCGCACCCTCGCTAGTATACCTTCAGGAGCCCGGCGTCTCCGATCGCCAAGCGATTTTCATTGAGGGAGGAAAGCCTGAGACTACACTTAAAATACTTTCTATGTTGACATAAAAACCTACCTAGACTGACTAAGTTGCAAGGTTCTGAAGTAGAACGTGCATGCGATGCCGCTACCACCATTTCCCCCCGATTTCGTTCTGAGTCACCTCACACTTGCAGCAAATAAAACCACGCATGTGCGTAACGTTAAAAACCGAGGCAAAGCAAATTCCGTAAGGAGGAAAGGTGGAGGGGCACTCAAACGAACAATTTCTGATTCGTCAGAAATATACAGGTGTGCATATACGGGACGAACACGCACACAATGTACCCATAACATCATTCGATGCCGATACGTAACGCCATTTTTTCCCCATTCCGTACATTCGAAATCGTCGACACGTGTTCTACCGCTGTAGCTCGCGCGAGGCCGCGGCCTAAACCTAGAGTTTAGTACCTGACTAACCAGGAAGACAACTGCCTCCCTCTGTGGGTCAGCGGGCTGTCTCTAAACCACGCCCGTCTCCCAACAAACACATTTAACCTATTTTACATCGCACCTGACACCCCGCCACCGTACCCCTCCTTCCTCGCGAGCCTTACGCCAACTTTGTCCGACCCCAGGCGAGTCGCTACGACGTCCGGAGGGCACAAGCCACTCCCAACAAATCACAGGATCAAAAAAACAACCTGAAACAAAGAAAACATCATCACTAAGTAACGCTGAAGGCTCCCGTACGACACGACAACTGCACGCTTAGCAAAGATGGTACACCAACACGCTTCGTTTTCTGTCACGCGCAACGTTGACGTGGCGCTCGACCCTGCGCACCGTTGGATAACTTAACTGCCACCAAGGAGAACGACCACGAACCTAACCACAGCACGGTGCCCCCGACAAGAAGTAACTCAACAAAAAACGAATGGGCTCAAAACAATGACAGGAAAAAAAAAGATCACTAAATACGTCACTAGAGCAAGCGGAAACCCCCAAAATCGTGCTACTACTAAATACTCCAAACCGCTCATGCTGCAAAAATGCCACACACGCCCTTCCTCATGCATACCCACACCATGATAAAAAGAAGGAGATACCATACAAGACAAGACAAACCTCGCTACTTGCGGTTGCTAACCATCTTGTGGGCTGTGCTAAAGCCGCCTAGGTACAAAACTTCACAGAAATAAAGCTGATCGCGGCGGAGGTGAACAACCACAAGTGCCGCTTGAAGAGGGACGGGAGCGGCGTTCTATGGAACGTTTCCCACATCGTTCCCTCCTGATTCTTCGGAATACAGCACGAAAAAGCCGGCCAAGGCTACGGAAATTCCAACACCAACCCCGACAAAAACGAGGGGGGGGTGGGGGGGGGGGCGTAGCACTTCCTACCGTATGCGCCTCACACCGCATGCCGACAGGAAAAAGCGCCCGACTTCAGTAATCGTTGTCAGAGTCGGCGCCGTCGAGCGCGAACGACCTGCGGGCTTCCTGCGGGATCATGGGCGACGGCGGGGGCGCCGTGGGGAAGGCCACCGCCGCCGCTGTCGCCAAGGCACCCCCGTGCTTGCGCTGGCTCGGCGGGGAGGCGGGACCCTCCCCGCGCGTGCTGCTGCGCTTCCCGGCGCTTTCTCCGGCCCCCTCCCCGCCGCCGCTGTTCTCAACCTCTTCCTCTGCCGCCGCCGCTTCCCCGCCTTCCGATGTCCGCCTCGAAGAGATCCGTTCTCGTCTAGGCGAGCGCCTCTCCCGTGGGGAGCTCCGTCTCTTCTTGCGCCTCCCGCCCGCGCTGCCGGGCGCCCCGCCTTGCTTCCCCGAAGGGGTGGCGGCGCCGTTCCTCTTGGCGAGGGCGGCCTCCTCCGCCTCCTCTTCCTCTTCCTCCTCCTCCTCCTCCTCTGCCACCTGGCGGTGGTTGTCGGAACCGCGGCGGTGGCGGCCACCGCCACCGCCACCGCTAGCGCTGTCAGCGCCTGCTGGCCGGCCGGAGGACAGCGGCCCGTGTTTGTGGAGCAGCGTCAGGGACTCTATGCGGAGGTCTTTGAGCGCCAGCAGCTGCTCGAACTGCTTCACCCTCGCGACCCACGTGTTCTCCAGCCCCTGCAGCCTGGCCAGCACCGCGAGCAGCTCTGGTTGTTGCTTCCGCGTGCCCTCCTTTTCTCCTCCGTTCTCCACCTTGCAAGACGACGACATCCAAGACGATGATGACGCCTTCACCCGTGCCGGCGACTTCCCCCCCCCCTCCGCCGCCATCCTGATCTCTTCCAGATCAGAGTCGGAGCCGATCGATTTTGACACTTGTCCGTCATTTCCCTCTCCCCCCCGCTGCTGCGCTTTCGCCTGAGCCTTCCTATTCGCCTGGGCGAACTCACCGCCTTCTTGCCGCCCCCGCTGCCGTCCCCGCCCCCGAGCAGCCGCCGCCATCGCCGCCACCCCTACCGCCGCCGCACTCGCCGCCGAAACATCGGTAGCACTACAAGAAGAGGGCGAATTGGACGGTGGCGGCGGCGGGAGCGGCTTGGTGCTTTCCGTCCCTCCTTCTCCGTCGTGCCCCGAGCCTCCGGAAGAGACCGCCGGGCGGCGGCGCGGCAGAGGACCGCCGCCCTCATCCCTCTCCCGGTTCCAGCTGCTACGGCCTCCGGACCGCGACCTACGACGCGCCCAGCAGCTGCGCACGCCGTCGCCACCGCTCGCAGCCGGGGTGACCTTCTCCACTACCACCAGCTCCGCGAACGCCGGAGACTCAGGACCTGCTCCTGCTGCGGCAGCAGCGCCAGCTGCAGCGGCGGCGGTGGCGCTAGCGCCATCGGCGGCGTTGTGCTCGTCGTCCTCCGACCACAACCGCCGCACGCTCGTGGTGCTCTTTATACTGCTGCTGGCGCTACCCGTCCGTCTCAGCCGGTGCGCCTCGACGCTCCTGTTCCCGCCGGGGGTGGCCCCGAAGTAGTCGGCGCGCGAACACCTAGCGGACCAGCCCCGGTGAGGCCGCTTCTGCTGCGGCTGCGGCTGCTGCTGCTGCTGACGCCCGCGCCCCCGCTGCTGCCGTCCCCCCCGCCCGCTGCTCGAAGAGGGCCCCGCGAGATGATGATGTTCCGCGTCGGGGGACATCGACGGCGACACCAACGCCGCCAGCGGGGACTGGGCCAGGACCGTCAGCCCCCCTGTCCCGTTCGTCGGCCAGGGGGATACTTCTTGCTCCCAGACGCCGCCGCTGCCGCGGCTGTTGGTGATGGCCTCGGACCAAGACTCCTCGCCGCTGAGCACGGGTGTACCAAAATCGGGGGAGGCGGGGTAGGGTAAGACTTCAACAAAATATCTTAAACCTTATCCGTCTCCTATCTTACGTGTGTGTGCGTCAACGAAACATCTCATAAACCAACAATTTTACACGGCACATTGTTTTTTGCAGATGAGTCATGAAGCAATTTGCATCGACTCCGATACAGTCATGCATGTGTACGAACGGAGCCCCCTAGGTACGGAGCCACCTGCCAACACAACAGGCCGAGGGCACCGGGGGCGTTTCTCGGGCGGGAGGGCCCCTCGAGCGAACCAAAGCCCCAAATATTGCGACGACGGCAGGCGAAAAGACAGAAGACAACAGACGAAATTGCTACACGATGCAATTAGACCCACTAACCTGCTGTTGGCAATATCGCTGGCCAGGGAGGCAGCGTTGTTGAAAGAAGCCGGCCGGCTGAGCGGGGAAGAACCCAGCTTCCGGCGCAGAGCGCTGCCACCCCCCGTGGAGGCCCGCTCTCCCATCAACATGGAAGACCGACTCGATCGCCTGGCGGCGGGCGACGCAAACGGGTGAAGCCAGTTGGTGGGAGGGTGGTTGTTGTCGTCGTTGGTTCTTGGCATCAAAAACTTTCCTCCACCTTGATCCGTCCGTACTGATCGATGCGTGATATTTGCCGGAGTTTCCGGACAATAAAGCGGGCATGTTTTGTCCTCCCACGCGCGGATGGGCCGACGAGCGCAGGACAAGGCGGGCGGGAAGGCGGCAGGCACCAAGCAAGCGGCAGAGACTTGCGAATCTCGGGCTCGAACTCAACACAAGCGAAACACGTTTGCCCCTATAACGTTTACACACAACTTGCACCTGGCTCAATTCCAGCGCGTGAAATCCTGATGGATGGCATCAGGACACCGATCCTCACGCGCGGCAACATTTTACAGGCGAGAGCAAGAAATACTGTACAGCGAGCTAGAGAGACAGACAAACAGACAACCAACAGACATTCAGTACTAAGTAGGAACAGACAGGCAGGCAGGCCGACAGGCAGCAAAGACAGGCAGCAAAGACAGGCAGCAAAGACAGAGAAACACTGAATTTGTCGGAATACTTTCGCGTCTTGCACCCCGTCAACGATCATACCTTCCCCCAATCGATGGAAATGCCTCGCTCCGCCGAGCCTCTCGCAGCTGGCAGTCGTGGAGCTGAGGAGGAGGAGAACAGGGAGAAACAACAAAATACAAAAGCAACGGCACGGTGGCCGGGCATACGGTCGCGGGCGCAGGAAAGGTCGTCGGGAGGCGGGGTATGTCAACACTAAGGCCAAGGAAACGAGCGGGGATGGTTTGATCTTTAGGCATCGAGCGCACAGAATGAGCAAGCACGCAGGCCCCCTCATGGGTAGGTGGGTCGAACTACCTGAGCAGGCCTAGAGGACGGGAGGGAGGGAGAAGGTTAACGCGGGCGGACAGACAGGAGTAAAGTCCAAACAACGCCCAGCCCAAACACCAAAGAGAAGCGTGCACCAACCAAACCACACCACAGCACTCTGTCCAAACGACGCTCATCTCAAAACACAACCAGACAGGCGCACCAACCATACCATACCACACCATACCATACCACACCATGCACACCACATTTCATTACACAAAGAGATACGCGCACGAGCCACACCGCACCACAGCAGTCAAGTCCAAACGGTGCCCACTACACCACACCATACCATACCTGAGACAAGGTGACGCCAAACGATCTCACCAAGGATAAAACACACACGCCGCACTAACAAGCACCTGTCGCTTGAGACGGACGACCTCGGCCCTCAGCTCGGACAGCTGCTGCGAGACCTTGTCCGGCGCCGCCACCACGTTGGCCGAGGCGAAAGTGGTCACTCGCTTGGCGCACTCGCCGAACTTGAGGGTGGACAACGTCTCCTGCGCTTGCGCTTCGTCCGGGCTACAGCAGATTATGAGCACCGTGCTGGGAAACACGGGGGTGTCGCAAGTGGGGTGGGGTGGGGGGGGGGGGGGGGGGGGGGGGGGGGGGGGGGGGGGGGGGGGGGG